CTCGCTTTTGAACAAATCGAGGATGCATTAGAGTCTATCTCACATTCAGTCGACACTCCTCAGCGGCCGTTTACCCGTGGCATTACTGCCACCGCACAGGTTGTCACGCATCCTCGATGTCATTCGGCTTGCACTGCCTATGTCTTTGGAACTTCCGTACGCAGCCAGTAGTGCCTTACTTCGCTATTACGACACAATTCAGACCATTGTGGTTCCAGGTTATCAGGGATTCCATGTACTTGCCTGTATTCCGCTCCAGAGGCGTGACCTTACCTTCGCCACGTATGAGCTATTCACGGTCCCTGTCTATCTCCCGGGATCTAATGCATCTACTGCAGTTGCCGGAAGATATGTCACCGAACAGAAGTATATCGCTGTCACCAGGGATTATACTTCTTACATTGAACCAGATACTCAAACACACAGGTGCCTTGATGAGCAGCAACAAGTTTGCCCATTGAACACACCCGTATACCCCACTACTGCCATCCACTCGTGCGGGATTGCCCTTTTCTGTAACCTCACACAATTCATTAATACATATTGCAAGCGCTCAATCGGATTTACGATGTCTCCAAGACCTACTGCACACTATCTCTCCAACGGAAATTGGCTTATTGTTACACCCTTTTCTTTCCGGCTCACAAGTTTGCCAGGATGGCCAGGTCGGCTTTCCAGCTGTTGAACATCTCATTGTTGGTGCTACAGGGCAACAACTCGTCACCCTAGTCTTGATGTAAGGCAGATTGCCAATACTTCCACCTACTTCCGCCATCAGTCAACAGTCCACAGGTGATGTAACCCCACCCTTTTTACAATTAAATTTTTTGGAGCAGTTCACCGCGGGAGAAGTGCGCAAGATTGTATTGGGATACGCCCACTTAGACGCTAAAGTTGGCTATGAAGCGGCAATGAGAGAGTTTGAATCTAGGTACGGCGACTCTGATGTTATAGCGCGTGCCTTTGTTAGAAAGGCCCTGGATTGGCCAGTGGTCAGATCAGACGATGCCAAGGCGCTTGATAAATTTTCTCTGACATTGACTGAGTGTCAATATGCAGTCCAAAGTGTGGACGCCGCTCGAGTGTTCGAGTATTCGGACATCAGGTTGCTGGTGGGTAAGCTGCCGTATTACCTCCACGATAGATGGTGATGGGTCGGGCAAAACACGAGGGAACGAAACCAAGGTGTATACTATGAATGAGTTGCCTGTATCAAGGGAGGAGATACCGACCCAGGAAGATGTCAATAGATGGCCGTACTATCGCGAAGTGAAAATTCTGAGTATTACCGCAAATGTTGGTTTGATGTTAGGCAACAATGTTCCGCAAGCGTTGGAGCCATGGCGGGTTGTATATAGTCAGGGCAACGAGCCATTTGCCGTCCAAACCGTGCGGGGTTGGGCAGTGAACGGCCCACTGAAGGGTAGCGCTGATTCGGTGGGTAGTCCCAGGATCTCCATCAATAGCCAACAGATTAGTGATTGCGATTTGCAGAAACAGGTGAAAGGCTATTTCAATTTAGACTTTGTTGAGCGTCCCCATGGAGCGGAACACGGGTACTCCGTCGAGGATAGGATTTTCATGGAAAAACTCGAGAAGAGCGTTGTTTTCAAGGATGGGCATTACGAGATAGGATTACCGTTGAAGGACAACGTTGCATTGCCGAACAATATATCTCATGCGAGACAGCGCGCTCGTTATTTGGCCAAGAAATTTGAAAGGTCCGACAATAAATACTTCAAGGACTATGAGGCGTTCGTTAACAATTTATTGAACAAGGGCTATGAAGAGAAAGTGGATTAGGCTGAAGTGAATTGTGATAACGGGAGGGTGTGGTATCTGCCGCACCACGGGGTGTACCACCCCCACAAACCCGATAAAATTTGCGTCGTCTTCGATTGTGCCTCGCGCTACCAGGGTGTGTCATTAAACGATAAGCTATTACAAGGGCCAAACCTTACAAATACATTAGTTGGTGTTCTGTTGCGCTTTAGGAGCGAAGAGGTGGTGCTCACTTCCGCTATTGAGGCAATGTTCCACCAGGTTTGGGTGCAACTGGAGGACCAAGATATGTTGAGGTTCCTGTGGTGGCCCGAAGGTAACGTCAATGGTGAGCTTTCTGTGTACCGCCTGAAGGTGCATATTTTCGGCGCGACATCGTCGCCGAGTTGCGCGAGCTATGCTGTTAAGAGAACAGCAGAGGACAACAAGGATTCTCAGGGCCAGGTTATTCAGACAATCAAGAAGAATATTTACGTGGATGACTGTTTAAAAGCGACTGTTTTTTCCGACGACGGAGGACTCAAACCGACTAAGTGGGGAAGTAATAGTAGACCCGTGCTGCAGACAATACCGGAGGAGGATCTAGTGAAGGATGTGAAGGGAATCGATTTAGAGCGGGGTAGTCTGCCTATAGAACGCGTGTTAAGTGTCGAATGGCTGATTGAGTCTGATACTTTCAGGTTCAGGATAGTGGTCAAGGATTAGCCAGCCACCAGACGAGGGCTTCTGTCTATTGTAAGTTCTATCTTCGATCCTCTCAGATTTGTGGCACCATTCGTACTCACAGCCAAGGTGCTTCTGCAGGAACTCTGCGACATAAAGCTCGGCTGGGACGAGGACATTCCTCCGGGTTAGAAGGCCAGGTGGCTAGTTTGGCTCAAGGATCTTCCTAAGTTGGTCAAACTTCACGTGCAGCGATGTTATAAGCCAGCGGGCTTCAGCGCTATAAAATCGTCCAAGATTCATCACTTTGCCGACGCGAGTGAGGTGGGTTACGGATCGGTATCTTACCTGCACCTAACCAATGGCGACGTTAGGGTTCATTGCGCTTTCTTGATGGGAAAGGCCCGAGTAGCTCCGCTGAAACGCGTTACGTTACCAAGACTCGAATTGACGGCGGCTACCGTGTCCGCGAACATGGACGCCATGTTACAGAGAGAGCTCTGCGACGAGCTGGCATTGGACAAGAGTGTGTTCTGGAGTGATAGTATGACGGTACTTAGGTATATCGCTAATGAAACCACCAAATTCCGAACGTTTGTCGCGAATCGCGTTGAAACCATTCATCAGCATTCGGATCCATCGCAGTGGAGATACGTATCGACCAATCAGAACCCGGCGGACGACGCTTCACGAGGTTTGACAGCGGACGGCTACCTGGAGTGTACGCGATGGCTACAGGGGCCGGACTTCCTCTGGAGTTCTCACCAGGAGGATCAACGCGTAGACACCGAGCTCGTGGAGTCTGATCCTGAGTTGAAGGCAACTGTGACAGCGGTTAAGATCGCGTCTGACATGTCCGAGGAGGCTCGTGACACAATGGATAAGCTGTTGCGTTACCATTCAACATGGTACAACCTGAAGCGCTCCACCGCTTGGTTGCTTCGCATTAAACGAATGTTGCTGCGCAAAGTTCGGAATAGGAGCAATAATGAGGTTAAGGTCGAACTTAGCGGAGAGCCGCTAACGGTGGACGAGATGAAGGGCGCCGAATGAGCTATTCTCCAATCTGCACAGAGGTTGGTGTACAGCGCTGAGATTGATACGCTTACGAATGGCGGTTTACAGGTGAAGCAAACAAGTTTTATCCGTAGACTGGATCCAGTTCTCGTAATGCATGTGGAATTTTAGTTTGGATTTAATTCCATATTTAGTCACCAGGTGCTACCAGGTTATGGTGTTATTTTGAACCACTGAAATGTGATGTTTTCTTGATCAGCTGATAGAAATACAATGTTTTATGAAGAACTTAGGTGTGTGGAAGTTCTATGTTAAGATTCAGTGGTATGCATAGTATGTAAGCCTGTTGCTTATAAAGATGCTAAGTAGATATGAAGACAGTATATCGTCTAAAAGTTGTCCTTTTGTTGGTTATGTGGGCATAATGTCATTTCTCTCAGATTATTGTGTACTTATGAATGTCCATATTTTGTCTTTCTAGTTTTTACGTGATCTGTGGGTGATCTTATAGAAACAAAAATATGATGAGCCAATAAACAGTATAGAAACAACATCGTTTGTTAATGTATTGGCCAAAGTGAATCAAAGCTGCCACAGTAAAAACTCTACCTAGGCTTCGTCTACGAGACTCCCTGTCTACGGCTATGAGACGGAGGATGTAGGAGTCGAGTAAAGACTCTCCAGATTCGACCACGTCGAGATGTCGGATACGGAAACCGACAACGTCAAGACGTCGGAGACCGGCGGAAACGTAAAGAGCGTGTCTGCTGCTATGGAGGGACTTGATGCTCTGCTTCAAGCGGCCCACATGTCTGAAGAATGTTCTGTGCTAAAACTGGAAAATCAGCGTCTTGCATCTGCGTTGCAAGCATCTAGAAACGAGTTGGAGTCTAAGTCGTCTTCTGGCGGCGAACTTGTTTCAGCCATCGGGCTGTTGGCGGATATTCTAACTAAACGTGGAGAAGGCCTTCCTAGGAAGGAGCCTGATACTTTCTCCGGTAACACCTTTGGCTATCCCGTGTGGCGCAATGCATTCAAGGTGCTAGTCGAGGAATCTTACAACAATGTCGCGGATCGGTGTTATTATTTGGGAAAGTACACGGCGGGAGACGCGAAGCGCGCCATTTCGGGGCTGTTGGCCTTGAACACCAAAGAGGCCTACGAACAGGCCATCGCCATTCTAGATGACCGCTATGGGAATAAGTTGAGACTCGCACGGGCATTCAGAGACAAACTTGCCCAATGGCCGACAGTAAAGTACGGGGATGGTCCGGCACTTAGAGATTTTTCGGATTTTTTGGTGCAATGCGAGACGGCAATGGGTACATTGAGCCAGTTGAGTATTCTGGATGATTCGTCGGAACAGCAAAAGATGGTTGTGAAGCTGCCACGCTCCATTCAAGACCGTTGGGTTGTGGAAGTAGATCGCCACTTATACGAAGAAACTAGGAAGGCGAGAACGAATACCCAAGTTTTGCGAAACTGTCGTTTATTCGTAAACAAGCCAGAATCGCGTGTAATCCGCTCCTAGAACGCTCTGCTGACAGTGAGATCGCCAATGACGTAACTGCTGGTGCGCGCAGCAGTCATACGCCTAGCTCCGGTGGTAACAAGGTTGTCAAGTCTTTTGGGAAAACTCTGAAAACCGTTTCTA